ACTTGACTTATACTTAGAAAAAGTCTAAATATATTTGAGCACAATTATAGCTCAAATATATTTAGACTTTTTCTAAGTATAAGTCAAGTATACTTAAATGTCATTTTAAGTATATTTCTGAGAAGTACATAAAGCCCATTTCCGAGAAGTACATAAAAAGTAGACTAAAAGTATACTTTCCTATTTTTAGTTTAAAAGAAGTATACCAATAGCACACTTGAATAAACTTCTTTTTCGTAAGGGTAGTAACATTTAAAAATGTTAGATGAATGTCCAACTTGAAACATTTAAGGAATCAAACAATCCATTAACAATATATGAACACCGTCTTTGTGCTAATGTTTTGAGAACATTGAGACCAGATAAAGAACATTACAGAGGAATCATAACTTTGAGGAAACCTTCTGAGAACGCTCACTGGTAGATTGATCATCAGTGATCAAAACGCGGGTTTCTGTTCTGAAGTATGAGCTTATAATGCATGACTGATCAGCAGATCTGATACAGTTATTAATTTAGTGAACTTGAATGTCTCCAAATAACCGGATGATGATGTTTGACTCGAGCTCTTGTGGATGTTTTGTGTAAGTGTCACTAGTGAACAGATAAGCTAAACTGGAAAACACTTGTTGATATACAGCATATCTGTAATGCAAAACACTAAAATATACATACAATATTAAACAAACAAATGTCAACTCTCTCCAATCACAGCCTTATTTTTAACGCAAATATTGCGCGTGAGTTTGTACATTGAATGTGCGCGACTTCCGGTGTCATTGGCTTCCGGTTATTTTTTTTTAGCAATACCAAAACAGTCCATTATGCTGCTCGATAGTGCAAACTGGTATTTTTTTTTAAATCATATTATTTGAATGTATTATCATAATCGCAAACACACTGGTTTGTAGTGCAAGTAATAGTACTTTGTTTTTCTTTTAGTTATTTACCGATAGCGGCTAATGAACCGGAAGTCTCGCACATTCACAGAAAATAGCTTTCTTTTTCTGTTATCTACAGCAGTCACACATAAGCTACACACACAGTGAACACTAAATAAAGCACTTCTAGACTTTATGTGAATATTACATTTATTTCACTTGCAATAAAAATGAATCAAATGCAGTTGTTTCCATTTTCTTTAGTTGTGACTAGTTGTTTATTAGTCATTTGCACAGGCGATTCAGGGTTCACTAGCATTGAAATGATTCTGACAGAACACACATAAGCTACACACAATCCAAACATGAACCAGTAAAAATAAAGTGAAACATGAAACATTTGTGTATGTGGAGAAAGCAGCGGTGAAGAACAGATAGAGGACACAAGGGAACAGGTGTGGGCGTGTTCTTCGGCTCGCCTGATTTGCATACGGTGACGTCACAGCGCTGCTCTGCCAACAGACTGAACTGTAGTCAGCGAGATGTTAGAAATAAATAAAAACACTGCTTCATTTTTATCAGTGTGACTTTGCATTTACAAAAGTGTTCTTAAAGGGACAGCTCACCCAAAAATAAAAACCCCGTCATCATGTATGTGAGTTTGTTTCTTGAGAAGATATTTTGAATAATGTGCGTAGCCAAACAGTTGACGGTAGCCATTGACTTCCTTTCCATACATGGAAATCAATGGCTACCATCAGCTGTTTGCTTCCCAACATTCTTCAAATGATATTTTCATACAGGTTTGGGACAACAAGAGGATGAGTTAACAATAACAGGGTTTTCATTTTAAGTGAACTATCCCTTTAAGCATGAAAATGAGTTTCAACATCCTCATATTATGAATGAACGCATGTATGCATTAAGATATAGGCTATTACTTATCATGTGTTTTATTAAGAAGTAGGCCTGGTGTTTGATTCATTTTACATTTAGTCATTTAGCAGATGGACTACAAATGGAAGCAATCAACATAACATTTTAGCCCCAACCCTGTCCAAATGATGCCTGATGGTGAAAGAAAGCAATAGGAGTGATGTAAAATATCATTTCAAAGTCATAAAGTCACCCAATTTGAACAAATCCACCATATATTCCTCAAACCCCGATTCAGATTGCATTGCAAGAAGAAGTCTCGAGATTGCCGAAGCACTGGAAACATCTGAAGAGATTTGTGCTGTGTTTGTGTCCAGCGAGCGTGGTTCACATGACAAACAGAGACATTTTCCAGTCAAACGCGGAGCCCTTCTTCATGTCTGAGCAGGCCAGCGCTCAAAGGAACATGCAAATGAGTGTGTATTGGCGGCGTGTGTACGGTTCGGCTCAGAAAGCTCGGCGCATGTTCTCTCGCGACACATTTGCATACAGTTACAGCGAGTGTGTGGATGACGGTATCTAGTGTACCTGTGCGTCCTTCAGCAGCACAACATGAACACAGCAAGGATTACGTGCATTACGTTTGTGCTAGTAACACATCACATCAGCCTTCTGCGTAAACCTCATTAATAATGGCACAATGCATCTGCTGCTGCAATGCAGCGTTATTTTAGCATCTCTGTTTTTATCCCTATGTTTTATTTTTTATATTTTAATATTAAATGTGCATTAATTTTATTGTGCTTTGTCATTTTTATTATTTTTAATATTACAATTTTATTATGTTTTAAATGTCAGTTTTTGATTTAATTTGTTTCCAGTTAGTTATTTTAGTGCTTCACCTTGAACCCATTTCAGCTAGCTTTTTAGAATGTCTATATATGTTTTTATTTCAGTTTATTTATTCAGTTAAAAAAATTCAGTCTTAATATTACTATCCGAACATATGTGACCCTGGAGCACAAAACTAGTCATAAGGGTCAATTTTATGAAACTGAGATTTCTAAAAATAAATGCGCTTTCCATTGATGTATGGTTTGTTAGGATCGGACAATATTTGGCTGAGATACAACTATTTGAAAATCTGGAATCTGAGGGTGCAAAAAAATCTAAATATTGAGAAAATCATATTTAAAGTTGTCCAAATGAAGTTCTTAGCAATGCATATTACTAATCAAAAATTAAGTTTTGATATATTTACGGTAGGAAATGTACAAAATATCTTCATGGAACATGATCTTTACTTCATATCCTAATGATTTAATGAAATAAAAATGTATAATGTATTGTTGGCTATTGCTACAAATATACCCCAGCGACTTAAGACTGCTTTTGTGCTCCAGGGTCACAAATATCTAGTTAGTTATTTTAGTCATTCAACTTAAACTCATTAAATGTCTATATAGTTTTTATTCATTTTTATTTCAGTTTTAATTTCACATCAATTTAAACTAGATGAAAATAAGAGATGTTGCCTTGGCAAATAGCTTAAATAAAATGCTTAAATTGTTTTAGATTTAGATTTCAGAATTAACATTCATTTCAATTAACACTTTTTCAATATCACTGAGATGCGATTACAGATTTTAGTATTATTTTAAAATGCTTTATTTTGATGTTAACGTTAGTTATTTTTAAAATTAATTTAGTTAATGACAAAAACTTGTCATTAAAAGTTTTTGTCTTTTTCTTTTATTATCTTTTTTTTTTCAGCTTTAGGCTTATTTTCCAGTTCAGTGCAATAATAGTGCTTCAACGTCAACTCATTTCAGTTCGTTTTTTAATGCCTACATACGTTTTTATTAATTCCATTTCAGCTTTAGTTGCCGTCATTCCAGCGCATCAGCTTAAAGTAAATGAGAAATGTTGTTTTTAGATCTGAACGCTTGTTTGCACGGGTTTTGTCACAAACGCACTCGGCGCATTAAAGCAGCCAGACTGACAGAAGCTGAAGAAGAAAAGCACACCTGTTAGGACTATAGAGAAAGCCATTCAGGTCCTTCAAACCGGGAGGTTAACAGATAAAGTCAACAGTAAAGCAGCCGATTTGAATTGCTTTTGTCCCAGTTTAGGTGACATAAACCCGACAGACAATCAACTGGAAAGTGAAATAAAAGCAACATTTTCCTAGCAGTGCGGCTGAGCTTGCTGTGCCCTTCAGCCCCGGAGGACCATTTGCATGGCAGGTCCAGTTAAATGAGGAGACCAGATTCTCTCGACCTGGCATGCAAACCAGCGGAGCAGCAGTTAAAGCACAGGTGTGTCCTCCTCTCTCCAGAGATATGGAAATCACCCGCTCTCAGATTGACTCTCTAGACACTGAGCCATAAAGCAGTCTGGAGATGCCTCGCTCGTTCCTGGTCAAGAGAAAGCAGTCGGCCTGCGCTGGATGGCAGTGGAAAGAGCCGGAGCCCTGCTCCAGTCCAAACACAGGTAACCAAAACCATCAGAACATCTCCAAAACCCGAGCGCGCTTCTTCTGCGCAACGCAAACGACGACAAACCTCCTGCGTCTGAAGCCAGTCCAGTGTGGTTCAACGGAGTTCTGATTCACAAGCTTGCGATTCGATTCACTTTGATTCATTCGGACATAAAGGCAATCAGGTACAGTGAGGAAAGCCTCTGATCTGAACAAACATTTAAACTGCACATCAAAAGTATTATATACTAAAAACATAACATGATTGTAAGTCTAAGAGCATTTTAAGTATATAAGAAGTATTTTATAATTAAAACAATTATTCTATTTGGTAACACTTTGATTTAAGGTGTCCTTGTTACACATGTTACATGTACTTACTATTATAATTACAATTAAGTATGCATAAGTAAAACTAAGTCTAACCCTAACCATATAGTAAATTAATATTACTCAGTACGATTACACTGTAACAAGGACACCTTAAAATAAAGCACAACCTTCTATTTTAACATCAAAGAACAAGTTCAGTAAAATAGCATGAATATGGAATATAGTGCATATATTGACAATGTCTTTCTTAAGGTAACTGTGACGTTATTATTGATATGATCTTTCTGTGGTTGAAACACTGATCGATCAAATACATGATTTCAGTAAGTTCTTCTGTTTATTAATAATACGCTCTTCTCACAGAAATTAGTGCTTTATTTGATCAAGTTAAGACTTTCCATCAAGAATTGTTCACAGAAGTTTACATACATTTATTTAAACATTTTAGAAATAAAGAAACATTATAAAGGGAAAGAGTTTTTTTTTTTTTATCTTACCGAAATATATAATAGAAACAAAATCAGTCCAAAATCCTCAGGAGTTATACACAGCTTAGATAATTATCATCTTTTAGTGTACTGGTTTATTTTTGGGTTCTGGAGGGTTTATTTTGTATATTTCATTATTTTATTTTTTTATTTTTTATTATTATAAAAAAATGTAACATAATAATAATAATTATATACATTATAATTTCTTATTATAAAATAAAATACCATACTGGTTTATTTTAGGGTTCTGGAGGGTTTATTTTGTAAATGGTTGTTATTTTTTCATTATTTTATTTTTTATTATTATAAAAAAAAAACATAATAGGGTTGTTATTTTTTGATTATTTTATTTTTTATTATTATAAAATAAAGAACGAAAATAATAATAATTATTATTTACAATATTATTTATTATTATAAAACAAACAAAAATATACTATACTGGTTTATTATAAAATAAAAAACAAAACAAATTACTATTATTATTATTTATTTATTTGTTTGCTTGAACTATATTAGTTCATTTTTTGGGGTTCTGGAAGTTTTACTTTGTACATGGTTGTATATATATGTTTATATACAGTATATATACATACACACAATATATATACAGTATATATATATTAATTTAGGGAAAACAAATGGCAGTGTGTAACTGTGTAATGTGTGTGTTTCAGCATCTGTTCAGAGTCCCAGCGCTGGTCTGGAGTCAGTGTCTGAGCGCGCTCATGCCGTCCACAAACACACAGCTGCTCTAAAAAACATAATAATTATTATATACATGATTATTATTTATTATTATAAAATACTATCCTGGTTTACTTTTGGGTTCTGGAGGTTTTATTTTGTAAATGGTTGTTACTTTTTTCATTATTTCATTTTTTATTATTATAAAAAAATAAACATAATAATTATTATATACATTATTATTTCTTATTATAAAATAAAATAAAATAAAATACCATACTGGTTTATTTTTGGGTTCTGGAGGTTTTATTTTGTATAGGGTTGTTATTTTTTGATTATATAAAGTGTTTCCTCTGCAGCGCATGCTGACGCGTCACCTCAAGTGCCACAGTATGATCAAGAGACACCCCTGCAGGTTCTGCGGGAAAGGCTTCAACGACACCTTCGACCTGAAGAGACACATGAGAACACACACCGGTGAGATCACGTCACTCAGAGTCACACCTAAACATTCTCATTTCAGCTGCTTACACAATAAAACTTTCCTCGTCACACAGTTTCTGAAAGCTGACACTCAAACAGCAGAAGCACACACCACATCTACAAAACATTCACTAATTCTCAGCTTTTGCCCCAGTGAAATCCAGAAAGTGTTAAAGGCCTGTGAAGCTTTGGGAGCGCTGATGGAAGCCATCTACTGCAGCTTTGCTTTGATAATATTACTGAATATGATCCAGATGTAGTATTTGATAAAAATGAGATTTTCTCAGCTTTTTGCTCAAAATGTTGCTTTTTTATGAAACCTACCAACATTCAAGTGTTGATAAAAAAAACAGTGCTTGAACCTATAGAATAAAACAGATTATTTTGTTTGAAAATAGAGGGTCGGATCTTTATTTTGATGTATTGCATGTTCAGATATTCATACAACAAAATAATCTGGGGGCCATGGAATTTTAGTGAAAATCAACAAAAACGCTGGCCGTGGCTGGAAACTTTTTTCAAAAACGCTGGCGGGGACCTCAAGTGCCACAGTATGATCAAGAGACACCCCTGCAGGTTCTGCGGGAAAGGCTTCAACGACACCTTCGACCTGAAGAGACACATGAGAACACACACCGGTGAGATCACGTCACTCAGAGTCACACCTAAACATTCTCATTTCAGCTGCTTACACAATAAAACTTTCCTCGTCACACAGTTTCTGAAAGCTGACACTCAAACAGCAGAAGCACACACCACATCTACAAAACATTCACTAATTCTCAGCTTTTGCCCCAGTGAAATCCAGAAAGTGTTAAAGGCCTGTGAAGCTTTGGGAGCGCTGATGGAAGCCATCTACTGCAGCTTTGCTTTGATAATATTACTGAATATGATCCAGATGTAGTATTTGATAAAAATTAGATTTTCTCAGCTTTTTGCTCAAAATGTTGCTTTTTTATGAAACCTACCAACATTCAAGTGTTGATAAAAAAACAATGCTTGAAGCTAGAATAAAACTGATTTTTTTATTTTCTGAATTCTTTATTTTGATGTATTGCATGTTCAGATATTCATACAACAAAATATTCTGGGGGCCGTGAGATTTTAGTGAAAATCAGCCAAAACGCTGGCGGGGAAACAAGGTAAACAAAAAATAAATAAAATAAAAAAAAACCTACATAAATATTAAGAAAAAAAATTTATAAAAATTGATCAATACAGGCTTTCTGGACCAAAAAAAAAAAAAAAGTTTCATTTTAGGCCTTCGGGTCATTTTGACCCACGAGGGAAAGATTTGTTACAAAACGCAAGAGAAGGATGAAGGTTAACTGCACTAACCTTGATTCCCATAAACAGGTTTTGAGTCTCTTGAGTGTCTCTCTCTCTCTGCACACAGGCATCCGTCCGTACCGGTGTGATCTGTGTGAGAAAGCCTTCACGCAGCGCTGCTCTCTGGAGTCTCACCTGCGGAAGATCCACGGCGTGCGGCAGCAGTACGCATACCGCCAGCGGCGCTCCAAGATCTTCGTGTGCGAGGACTGTGGCTTCACCTCCAACCGGCCGGACGAATACTTCCTCCACATCAGACAGCAGCACCCGAGCAGCCCGGCGCTGCGCCGTTATTACCGCAAACACATGCTGGAGAGCCCCGCGCAGCACAGCATCGCCCCCTTCATGCTGTACCCCGCCGCAGGACTCTACATGTGAAGCACCTTTAGTGTGTGTGCATACCAGCTCTGTTACACTGTAACAAAAATTACATAGTTTACGGTAAAAAACTGGCAGCTGTGGTTGCCAGAATTATACTGTAAAAAATATGGTAGCAACATTTTAGGTTTTACGGATTTAACTTAAATGTGACCCTGGAGCACAAAAGCAGTCTTAAGTCGCTGGGGTATATTTGTAGCAATAGCCAACAATACATTGTATGGGTCAAAATTATACA